TGCGTGGTAATCAATTATTTTTAGATCTTTTTTTGTGACCACCATACTAAAAGTAAATCATTTTCGATTGATAATGAGCTATATAAGATCATCTTTTTTAATTAGCAATTTTAAGTTAGTATTAAATCTGAGATTTACAAATCAGCTAAACTTTATTCATAAATAATTTTTTTAAGTTACATACATAAATCATTTTATTGATATTCCTATTCTTTGCTGGCTTTTGATAAATTGAAATTTTGCATTACTTCGGGAGGGAATGCTAGTTTTGTAAATCCATCACACTCTAATTTTCAGATTTTAAAATAAATAACGATAACAAATTAGTACATAGCTATTACAGATACAAATCATTCTTGTATCTGATAAGGTACCAATAAGTTTAAACTCAACATAATTTTATGCCTTATTGTTTAGCTGATTCAAAAGTTAAGAAATTATGGCTAAAGTACTTGAACAAGTAAAATGCGCCTTTTCAAGAAAGCTTTAAAAATTAAAAGATTTAGTCTATTAATTTAGATTAATAAAAAAAAAAAACTGACTAGCAGACTGAAATTTCGAATACTATACGAAAAATCAACTTAATGTGGCTGAATGAATTTGAGCTCGATATTGCAAATCTAATACTGAAATCAAAGTCCAGTCACTTATATCTATTACATCCTGCAGCAACAAAAACAATAATCCAGCTTCTTCCAAAAAATGAAAGACCTTGTGAAGTAAGCTTTTTCTAATTTTAAAATGGATAACGATAATAGATTAGTACAAGTTATTCTTGTACCTGGTAAGTTACCAATAAGTTTAAACTCAAAATAATTTTGTCTTATTATTTGGCTGATTCAAAAGTTAATTAAAGAAAGTATGCACCCCGGCGTCCCATGATCTTACAGGTTTTAAATAAAAAAAAGGTTAATTAAAGAACTTGAAATTCTGGCTATTGTACTTGAACAAGTAAAATGCTTTTTTAAGAAAGCCTTAAAATTAAAATATTCAGTCTATTCATTTAGATTAATAACAAAAAAAGAAAAAAAAATCCAACCGAAATTTCGAATGCTATACAAAAAATTAACTTTATATGACCTAATTAATTTGAGCTCAATATTGTCATATCTAATATTGAAATCGAAGTCCAGTCACTTACATCTATCACATCCTGCAGCAACAACAGCAATAATCCGGCTTCCTCCAGAAAATGAAAGACCTTGTGAAGTAAGCTTTTTCTAATCATTTTTGATTGATAATAACTATATAAATATCTTTTCTAGTTGGTAATTTTAAGGTTAGCATTAAATCTGAGATTTATAAATTAGTTAAACTCCATTCATAAATAATTTTTTTAACCATTTTATTAATATCCCCATTCTTTGCTGGCTTTTGATAAATTAAAATTTTGCATTACTTCGGGAGGGAATGCAGGTTTTGAAAATCTATCACACTCTAATTTTCAGATTTTAAAATGGATAACGATAACGGATTAGTACATAGCTATTACAGATACAAGTCATTCTTTTACCTAGTAAGGTACCAATAAATTTAACTTAACATAATTTTATGCCGTATTATTTAGCTGATTCGAAAGTTAAGAAATCATGGCTAAAGTACTTGAACAAGTAAAATGCGCCTTTTCAAGAAAGCTTTAAAAATTAAATGATTTAGTCCAGTGATGTTCACTGGAACGTTTCAGTGGGAATTACTGGAACTGGAAGGTCACTGGACTTAATTGGATGAAATTGGAACCAAATTTGCTTCCAGTGATCGGATGTCCACTGGAACGTTCCAGTGAAGGTTTTTAGTCACTGGACAGAAGTTCCAGTAATGTCCAGTGACTTCCAGTAGCTTCAAGTTAAAAATTTTAAAATAAAATATGTATTTAATTTATATGTAATGTACGTATATACGTACGTACGTATATATACGGTATTACAAAAAACTTAATTTTTCGTAATTGAAGTATCCTCTTAAAATCAATTATAATAACATTTACTCCACATGATTGTGCATTTATATCCATTGTTCATGCGAAAAACAAACACGTGAAGCTTAAAGATTTTGTGCTACAAATCAGTATATAACTATCTAATTGCTAATTACTACTCGTATTATATTCAATTGGATAATTAGCATTCATCGTATAAGCGAGACTTAATAATCTGAAATTATAACATTTTATTTAAAATAAAATTGTAATTTAAACTCGTCTATTGTTTTTTTGGAAGGACATTAGCAGTTTTGTCTGACCCAACTTGGCATTGAAAGTCATCGATCATAAGTAAATCCAAAGATTTAACTCATGCAAAACAAATACGTGGGAATGTTAAAAGTTTCGGTCTAAACTAGTCTTAAAAAATCATAACCCAAAACACTTAAGAACAAATTCATGATCTAATATAAAATCAAAGAATTCAATAAGATCAGACTAGTTCTTAATTATGCGCCGTTTACTTTAGTGATTCAAGAATACATCTCAAAATAGTCCTATCGGCATTGGAATAATCATTGAGACACATAATTTTATGAATCCTATAAATTCTGCATATTGCTATTGTGAAGACAATAGTAATATACAGGATTCATAGAATTCACAAAGTTCTATAATCATACTAATTCAAAGCAATAATTATTTATGCGACCCTTAATATTCAACTCTTAAATAACTGAGCCAAACTCAATACGTCCATGTTGAGTAGACTTAAAGGACTGAACTTCACTTTTTCGTACATCCAATTCTCGGCTTTTTCTAAAGCTATTTTAGTCTGCTTAGAATTAGAACCTTTCAATTTATACAAAAGGAAACGATAGTTCAAAAGGTACTTATCTGTAAACCTATAATCTGAAATTTGGTCAAAAAATTATATTATGGTAGCTCAGAATTTGAACGGCAACTATAATATTTTAATTTTGAAATGCAAATAATGTCTCATACATGTATAAGATGGTTAAACAGGACAGAATCAAAAAAATAAGCACATGCGAATTATTGATACTATAATGCAATGAAACGCCTACCTTTAGATTAAAATTATAATAATTATAATCTTTAAAGAAAAATTTTTTTTCAATAGGTGTATATTCTTGTCTCATGTAGCTAGTTTAAGATCCAGTTAAGAATTGGCTTTTTTTTTTATGATTAAAATTTTGCAGGTTCCTGACATAGGCATTGTATTACCGTACAGTGCGGACTATAGTGCCCTGGATACAATACATTCTACAGGCAAGATTCAAGTTAGTACCCGGGTATTATACTTGGCAATTTTTCTCATATAAAAAATTTTCCATTAATAAAAGTCAATTGATATAGTATAGGTGTCTCTTATATTATATCTGGGCATTTTACATTCCACCATATAAATTTTTTAAGGGGTACTTTGATATGGGAGGGTACTATGGTCCGTGCTGTACAGTATATTTTAAGAGTACCTTTTTTGGCACTTGCATGAATAATAACGCAATTTTAGCAATAATGTCTCTGATTTAAGATAGCGGGTTCCAGAGGAATGTTCTTTTCTTCAATCCTTTAAATTGAAAATATGTAAGAATATAAATGCAAAAAAAATAAAAATATATCATAATATACCCTTCTACGTTAAGTCCTACTTATTATTAAGAGGTAATAGCATTCAACTTACCGAATCAAATCAGCGGCTGAAGCTCAATACGCATAAATTATTTATTATTCTTCAACTCAGTCTCGATCATCAGTGATGCGTTGCTGTAAAAAATGTTGAATTATGATAATTTAAGAATGATTGATAGCAATTTAGAAGTTCCTATCATGAATCTTAAATCAATAGTATTGTTCCTTCGTTTGTAATACCTGGCAAACATGATGGCATGTGAAAAATACAGACGAAGGGATAATGTTTAAAGCAGTGTTGGTATTTGAATTAATTAAAGATGATATGAACAATATAAGGTCATAGAATTTTTAATTTGAAATGTAACATTTGAACTATGTTCAAATCTGTTCAAATCTATTCAAATCTATTCAAAATGAGTGTCGCCAAGGGAAAACCTGCAAATCTTATTAGATAAGATTTGCAGGTTTTCTCTTGACGACACTCAAATATGAACATAGCCCAAACGCCAACACTGCTTTAAGATGTTTTGAATTTTAAGCAATAAAGTATATAAGAGTGTAGCTTCCAAAGAAAATTTCTTTTAAAGAAACTTTGCTCTATTCTATTTCTTCACTTATAATAAAACTTATATGACGGCATTGATTTTGAAATTCTAAGATTGTGCTAAAATGTCTCGACATCATATGGGTGGTCCTGAAAGGCATAGGTTCACAAATGATATTATTGTACTTGGTACAAAGCCTACAAATAAGTATAATACTTATTGTGTATGTAAGGCTTGTAACGAAATACTTGGCCGGGAGAAAACTTTAAAAAATCCAATTACCAATAAAAAAAATATTGTTAGAAATCATCTTAAAAACTGTGAACATTTTTGTGCGAAGAAAGGATCAGAAGAAGCAGTAAAAATATATTGTAATAAAACAGATGATGAAGAGCAGGCTTCACAAACTTCAAGAAAACACCAAAACGCCGATACATCAGGTAATTAGTAAATACAAAAACCTTTCTAAATACGTCCTCTCTAAACATACTACCTTCATGGATGACTTTTAACTCTCGGCCCATATATCTACTTAACCTCCATAGACGCATTATCTCTATAAATGGTATTTTTGCTATGAAATAACCCTCCAAGACTATGTTAATTTTGCGAATAAAAATTAAATTTGCCGGCCATTTAGTTATTCAATTTGAATATTCTTTTTTTTTTAATTTGTAGAGCTTATTTAGCTCCACAAAATAAAAAAAAAACATCCAAATTGGGTAACTAAATGGTTGGCAAACTTAATTTTTATTCACTAAATCAATATAGCCTTAGAGGGTAATCTTCATAGCAAAAATTCCAAATACGCATTACAGAGAATTTAGTCTAAACAGGATATGTGAATAATATTAAATTTTTTTTTTTGAGTAGATGATATGAATGACGAAACTCCTAGCGTTTCTTCAACACCTTCAACACCTAAAAAGCAAAGAAAAAAACCATTGAATTCTAATACTATGTCCAATTTCATTGTCAAAGATGTTTCTGTTAAAGACAAACCTAAATTTGAGAGATTGTTATTTCGAATGACAATTTCAAATGGATGGGCTTTTAAATGGACAACAAATCAAGCAACTCGGGAGTTTTTTGAGTTCTTAAACCCAGCGCTTACCCTTCCGCTAGACATGCTTTATCAAATCATATCCTTGATGCCGAAAGAAATAACTTCATAAAATCACATGAACAAAAGTTAAGAGAAGATGTCGTCGGAGTTACCTTAGCATTTGACGGGTAGAAAAATATTTTGAAACAAAATATTTTTGGTTCATTATTTATTTTAACAACTGGAGAAGTTCAAGTTTGGGAAGCAATTGACGTTAGTTCAGAGCGAGAGCGGATGATCGATGTTATCCCTAAAATTAAGAAAATGATCAATGATGCTTCGAATATAGGGACAAAACTACTGGCAATAGTTTCTGATAGTGCACCAGCATATTCTGCTGCTAGGTAAAAATCAAACATATAAGTTAACTAATTACTTTTTATAGACCGACCAGATCAATTATCAAAAAAAAATTAAAAATAATATTTTTTTTTAAATATAAAATTGTCGGTGCCTATGCCTAAATCAAATTGAGTACCATAGCTAAAACCTGCAATTGTTGATTTTCAAAAATTTCATTCTCAGAAACGGGTTTATAAGAAATATTATAAAATATTATAAGAATCTTATAAGTCGGTTTCTGAAAGTAAAATTTCTGAAAATCAAGAATTGCAAGTTTTAGCTGTGCAGTACTCATTAAAAATAATTAATTTTGTGCCCAAATACTTATCCCAATTATTTTAAATAGACGTAGACTACGATTGCAATATCCAGAAATCGTTCTTATCCCTTGCTTTGCTCATCAATGTAATCTTGCCGTGGGTGAAATATTCAAAGAATCTGACGAATTTAAAACTGCAATGAAACAAGCAATACAAATAGTTGGCTATTTTAATAACAGGATCCATTCATATTTTATTGGAAAACTTCGAGACTTACAAAAGCAAACGTATTCAAAATATATTGCTTTAATTTATCCAGGCAATACTCGTTGGAATTCTTATTTTTATTGTTTTAAAAGTCTAATAAAATCCCGGCAAGCTTTAAGAGTTAGTATTTAAAATACTATATTTACCGAAAATAACATCCCGGGATAGCATGTAATTTGAAATGTGCTAAAAATTAATTTAGCCGAAGATTTTTAAAATAAAACTATAATTTATATTTGGCTAAATTAATTATTAGCACATTTCAAATTACATGCCATTCCGAGATGTTATTTTGGATAACTATAGTATATTGTTTAAGTAAATACGTATTTAGCCAAAAAATAAATAAAATTTTAAACTTTTTAGAACTTAGCTACTACATTTGAATCGCCTTTAACCTATGATTCTAACAATGAAGAATCAAATAGTTCAGATGAACTTTACCTTCCGCAAAATATTACATCGATTCTTCTTAATGACAACTTCTGGCAATCGATAACTCAGCTAAGTTCTTTGCTTCTTCCTTATTGTGATGCTCTCAACAGTTTACAATCAGATACTGCTCGTCTTTATAATGTGCTACAGGCTTTTGGCGAAATATTAAGAATGTGGCAAGAATACTCGGATCATGGTTTGGCACAACGTATGATTCAGCGGCTAGAGCAAAGATGGAAGCAATGGGAACAACCTTTATTATTATTGGCTTTTCTTTTAAATCCAAATATTTATATTTTCTGGTTTAACGCTAATAATGAAAATTTAAACTTTACATACCTTGCTCAATTTGTCACCTATTATTACAAAGCATGGTTTGGACGTCGGCCAATCTGTATTTTATTTGAACTAGAAGACTATAGAAAACGGAAATATCCCTTTGATTCTGCAACATATGAACAATTTGGAAAGAATATATTAGGATTCTGGGAATTTGCTTCTTCTTTTTCAAAAGAATTAGGCCCATTGGCACTGCATTTATTTGGAATCTGTGTTAATGCCGCATCTGTGGAACGTTTATGGAGTTCAATGGGTTTTATACATACCAACCGTCGAAATCGTCTTACAGTAAGAATTTTTTTTTTACTGGTGAAAATTAAAAATTCCACTTAATTTGTCATCCGACCTGCCATTAGATATTATCATATGATTTCACAGACATGCATGGGAAAAGTCTCCGAACACCTACGTACCAATTCAGATAATTTTTGTACCTACGTACCTATTTAGGATAAGCGGGTTTTAAATTTATAATAGGTACATACCAAAATTACCTGAATTGGTTAGTACTAGTAGGTGTCGAGAGACTTCCCCATGCATGTCCGTGAAATCATGTGACATATTGAATGGTAGGTTGAATGGCAAATTGAGTGGCATTCGAATCATACCATTCAAACATATCGAAATTTTAATTTTGCCAATGTTTTTTGTATATTTTTTGTTAAAAAAAATTTTTTTTTCTTTTAATATAGAATGAAAAAGTATTAGCTATGTGTCAAATTCGTGCCTCAATTAACTTTTCCCAGCGCAAACAACAAGTCCATACCTATAATACTATGTATAGCCAATCCAGCGCACCACCAATTGGTGAAGTTATACCAAATGAGTTTGAAGCAGATTTGGATGAAGAACACAATGAGCTGTATGATATAGAACCATCAAACCTTGAGGATTGGGAAAATCAATTACGTGATTGGGAACAAATGCTAACAGATGAAGAGACTGCCAGATTAGAAGATGAAGAGGAAGAACGTGATAATTATTATGACGGTATGGAAAGTGATTTGTTGAGCGATTATACACACCCGGCGGTAGACGACAAAGCAAAATGGAACTTGGAGAGTTTATTTAGTGTGTTATTTCAAAAGCCAAACTATATGAATAACAATAATTAGTTCATATATGGTTTGATAAATTACATTTTAAATACAGCACCTTTCATTTTTTTCTTTATGTACGATTTTATCTCATCTTTGTTTTAAAATATGATGTGTGATAATAAAGACAATCTTTAATATCTATAAAAATTTAACCATTATTGTTATTTTAATTAAATAATAAACTACAAAATTCTGTAAATAACAAGACAAGAATACTTAGGTAAATCGCAGTTAAAGGGCATAAAGTCATCAGAAGCTAATGTAGGTTTTCTATAGGGTTGGAATGCAGTCAGCTTACAATGAAAAGTTTTTTTAGCTAAGCAAGCCTCACTTGAGTTTCTAACAAATGTTAAAGAGCTAGTAGATCGCGGGATACATATAGACAGAAACTTTCAGCATTCCAACATTATAGTAATTCCCTGCCGATTTTTTTATGAAATTTATACCTTTCAACTGCGATCTACTACTCAATTATTTTTTATTCGAAACCCGGACTAGACTAATGTCTTTAATTTGACTCATATCCTCAATAGTCACGTTACAGTTAGTTTCATTAGTATTGAAAGAGATTAATGTAGAATTTAGTAAATTAAAAGGCGTTTCAAGAATATATGCCAAATCAAACAAATAAATTGTAGTAGCATCATACCTTAATAGTGATATATAAAATAATTAGCATTTGACTTCACAAAGCCTGTGATTCAAAGCGAACTCCAACGTTAGTATATATGTATTTTTTTAAAACAATAAATTAGAAAGTGGATCTGAAATAAACAAATATGTATTTTGGAAATTTCTACACGGATTTATTCTCTGCAACAAATGTAATAAAAGCGCTCATGTTCAAGTGAACCAGTTCAAACGTATAGATCTATGTAAAACACCTTTTAGTATAAGGCCGTATCGTGTTCAGGATTTAGAGATTAAAATATTACCACGATAACATGATCGATGAAAACAACTAAGTATATATATAAGCAGGGTTGCTTTCGATATTATAAATTTCGATCTTGCGGCTTTTTTTTTTTTGATGTTCTACCAACAAGCACGTGAAAATATGCATATTTTTATTGGCTAATGTTATTACTATTCATGCATTTTGATTGGACGATATTACAGGTTCCAGTGGGAAAATTCTTCCAGTGGGAATTTTTCACTAGAACCACTGGAACTCTGGAATAATTTGGACGTCCAGTGGGGTTCCAGTGGTCCAGTTAACATCACTGATTTAGTCTATTAATTTAGATTAATAAAAAAAAAAAAAATCTGACTGGCAGACTGAAATTTCGAATACCATATGAAAAAACTACTTAATGTAGCCGAATGAATTTGAGCTCGATATTTGCAAATCTAATACTGAAGTCAAAGTCCAGTCATTTACATCTATCACATCCTGCAGCAACAACAGCAACAATCTGGCTTCCTCCAGAAAACGAAAGACCTTGTGAAATAAGCTTATTTTCAGATTTTAAAATGGATAACGATAATAGATTACTGTAAATTCTCCCCCTAAAAATAGCATATCGATATGCGGATTCGAAGTAACGCCCGTGTTCCAATATAAATACTTGTCAAATCCGGATTTTTCTTTTTTTTTAATTTATCGTACGTATGTACATATTGACACTTTTAGTGAGGTACTATAAAGTGTATAAATTCAATTGATTCAGATTAGCCAATCAAATAAATGTTTATCTATAATCTACTATCATAACTAGTTGTAACCAGATCATAACCTGTATTCATAACAGGTTATTTTTTAAAAACCTATTTTTAGATTGCTCGTAAAAGCACACAATATTTAAAAAAGTAAGCATCGGCAAATAATTTATTATGTAAATCGATGCTTAAACTATCAAATTAAATAGTAAATCACATGTATTTTATAATAGTGTAGTTAACTCATTTTTGCAAAAAAAGCCATAAGCCGTGTTTTAGTTTGACGCGCCCCATATGATCTTCATTATGTTTGTATTTGTTATGCTATTTCACACCCTAATGTATCCTGCATTATAAATTTCATAGAAATATCTTAAGTAGTTTTAATTTAATTAGCCAGGTAAAATCACAAGAGTTTTTTTGAGTTTTTTTCTTTGAAAAAACTGTGAAGAAATAAGCAGAAGGAAGTTAGGCCGTTCAAAGTGATTAGTTGTTTAACGTCAAAATTTTGGGCTCAGACGGGGGGAGGGGAAATTTAAACAAATATATAATTTAACCAAATTTATATGTCATCGATTGTTTGATTAGATAGTTGCATGACAAAGTCAGGAATCAAAGGTTTATTGCCTTGACTTTCGTATGTTACGATGTTTTTGCCTGTTTCACAGATGGAAAGATAAAAATAATAATTTAAGCTATAGTGACAGTGTAAAGTGCTGGTTTAAATAAAATCAGTATGTCGATTTCTTAAATTTAGCATGTTACGTTGGCCTTCTTTAGATACACTATGTTGAATTTTCTGTAATAAATGGGAGCCATTATATAACAGTAAATATTAAATTAACCGATTTATATGTTTATTATTAAATATCTGGCTAAATTATTAAACATCACAGATATTGCTAAAATCGAAGTTTGAATCTATTTTACTGTGCTTTTCAAATTA